TGTGTGTGTGTGTGTGTGTGTGTGTGTGTGTGTGTGTGTGTGTGTGTGTGTGCGTGCGTGCGTGTGCGTGTGTGTGTGTGTGTGTGTGTTAGATTTTCCCCACAACAGCCCCAATTCCACCCAGGTGAATAGATTCAGAATCAAAATAGTCTTTGTCGTATTGCAGACAACGAGAGCATTTGAGATGTCCAACATATTAAAGCAATTTTACAATTAGACAGTTTTTTGGTTGTCCTTGGGGTACCCCTTTCACTGTTCTTGCAGCTCCCCTTTTACTGTGCCTCTTACGCACAAGGGTGCCCACGTTGATTGTGGTTGACCGGCAGCTGCCCACATCCCCGTGTGCCTTCACGGCCCACTTGTGGTAAACCAGCCAGGCGCCTGGACCTGACATTCAGGAGGCAGAGTAAAAGGGAAGGTATGCTCCTGTGCACCTCTTCAGAGCTTCATACTCCGGTTCATTTCACTTCAGATCTTCAGCTTATACAGTCTTTGTGTCCGTCCTCCATCTTCTTACTTCCGTTCATTTCATTTCTGATCTTCATATTGTTTCAACCACCAGTACCTTGCCCAGCTATCAAGTCCGAGGCTCGACCGAGGCCTACAGGCCATTTTTGGGGTCACCACGCAACTGGAAAAATTCAGGCAGTTGCTCAGCGCCAGTTGGTTGGAAGCGCCCAGGCCCAGGCTGCCCTTTCACGTGTGTAACTGGGGCAGGCCCTGGACCGGATACACAACATGGACCGAACACAGGCTGAGGGCGGTTGGGCGCTGGTAACCACCACAGGCCGTGGGCCTGGTTCCTCTGTACTGAGGCTCAGCCTTGCCGGGCCTACCGGAAGCTTCTGGGCTGGGGCCCAGTACCGCATTATCGCACACAGCAGCAGCAGGCCACTTCGATATAGGGAAGGGCCTGCCCACACATTGGACATTCGGGCACTGGCTGCATGCTGCGCAAGCGCTGCTGCGCTAACGCTGGCCAGCACTCACGCGCTCACGGGCAAGCTGGAAGGAGCAGGCAGCCATAGCCGAGCTGCACTGCTGTATGCTGGATGGGGCGCATGGTGGTTCTTGGGTGCATGTGGCATCTGTGAGTTGGGGATCGAGGTTGTGAGTGATACGAGAGACGTCCCTGGTGCTTGAGGCGAACAGCATTGGCCGAGATCTGCTCGTACTTCGGGGAGCTGTTGACGCCATCAGCGGCATTGTAGATAGGCTAGATAGGATGTGCCATCTGTAGTTTGGTTCTTCGTTGATAATGATGAGACTATTCCAGCATGGTCAATTATGAGCTTTTGCTGCGCTCTTATTTGGTGAAACTCATGATGCAATTCTGCTATTGGTTCGAGGTCACGACTATCTGGTCACATGTGTATGATGCTGTTTGAGAGAGAGAGAGGGCGTCAGACAGTGGCTGACGCCCTCTCTCTCTCTCTCTCTCTCTAGCAACGTTGAAATGAGAACGAATCTCCGCGTTATCGCGGAAGATTCATTGAATTCATTCTGATTTGAACGTTGGCTCTGAGAGAGAGAGAGAGAGAGAGAGAGAGAGAGAGAGAGAGAGAGAGAGAGAGAGAGAGAGAATAGCGAACGTTCAGATCAGAATGAATCTTCCGCAATAACGCAGAAGATTCATTCTCATTTCAACGTAGAGAGAGAGAGAGAGAGAGTCTTTCACGATTAACACAGTCTGACGCCGTCTCTCTCTCTCTCTCTCTCTCTCTCTCTCTCTCTCTCTCGTTCATCCCCCCACGCGGCGCCCGTTTCTTTTTCGTTTGTTGTTTCAGATTTTCGTCGTTTTTTTTTTTTTTTTTCCTTCGCTTTTTGGGGACTACCGGTCGCATGGAGGTGGGTACCCCGCCCGACGTGGCCGTTAACCCGCCCGATGCGGCGCGTTAATGGCCGTGTCGGCTTTTTCAAGCTGGGGCAGGTACTGGTGGTGTAATGATGCTCATTCGTATGTATTTGTTAGTAGTACAAAGGGAGTGGAGGGGAGGGTGGAGGGTAAGGGATAGAAGGTGGAGTTCTCTAGGAGTATGGGGCAGGGGAGGTAGGGGCAACGGGAAAGAAAGAAAATTTAAGAAATATGTGGAGGGCAGGATAGAGTATGACATGCAAAGAGCAGGGGAAAGGTGTATGACGGGTTTCACAGATTTCTAAATATTCACCGCTGAAGCAGACTACTCTAG